CTCAGGACAGAGACACTGTTGTGTTTATAGGAGTGGTGACGGCGGAGAGGGATGCAGCTGTTTGAGCACTTTGCCCTACTCAATCCAACCCCTCCTCCACCCACACAGACATAAAACCAAAGACACATAACATGAGAAGATCTTACCAAAAGGAGCGTGTCATTTCCATCTTAAAAATTAAACTAACTTGAAAGGATGCACATCGCCTGCCAGGTTGCATGCCAGAGTTTTAAACAATGGCTGACTCCAGCAGTTAATGGAATTGTTTTAAACTTTATCTTGTGTGATCTGTTAACGCTCAGAAAATGTTGATGAAAGATTCTCAGCTACAWCCGCACCAAYTTTTAGCTYAATACTTTTTCACAAAACACGTCAGTCTKGAGATTCTGGCCACCTACGTGTGATTTCAACAAATTCAGCCTGTATCTGATGCGTCTCTGAGCTGAGGAGCGAGGTAGAATCAGAGGTATATCAGTCGCAGTGTGAAAAGATAAAATAGGGTGGCAGCTTAAGTGTAACATATGATCTCTGCGATCACCTGACTGTGGGATTGCACAACAAAAACGCATAACTTTGTATTTTGTTTTTTTTAAATGGGGCAACCTCAAAGAATATCGCTGAACGTAGTTAATTCACCATGTTTTGTAACACAAGGTGAATGTGTCACCTGCTACATCCATGACTTATGAGTGGCTGGAGGAACTGCAAAACGGCATGTCTGTGTTSGCAATTAACCGTTGTCGCCATCTAATTCAGGATAATTCCAAAATCAGTAGTAGAAGTACATCTTCTCATTACTTTCTGAGAGTTTTTTTTTAAAGCTGTCACTGGTTTATGGGATATTTTGCTAACAAACGCAACCTAAATATTATGCGTATTAATATGACATTCAATTAACTTTATTTCATATTTCAAAATGAGGCAATGCCTTATAAAGGCTAAAATTATCATACATGTGAGTCATCTTGTGAGATGGGGTATGAGTCAAAACAACCCAAACCAGTGGTCAACACCATTCCAAAGTAGACATGACATCATGGGGGCATTCCCAAACCAATACAGCAGAGGGTCCACAAGCCTTTTAAATACATCAGCATTGTCTGTGCTGGCATCTTTTTCCATCAAAAACACACACAGGCTCATGATATGAGGCCCCATTTGTGCTAACACACTGCTGGAAGCTTGTAGGGTAGTTTGTATGAGGCAGACTGGACTGCAGCCCTATTTGTTAATGTTTTAACAGAGACAATTAAATCTGCTTTTAAGACTGTTAGTATATAATAAGGGAAAAGGTAGTTACTGTGAGAACCTTTTGAAAAGAACACAGTAAACAATTTAGAGCCATCAAACAAAGAGGCTCTTTGTCTGCAAACAACAAGAAGAACCTGGATGAAGGAGAGCTTGGCAACCCAAATATACAAGCTGTGCTCATGAATTTCAAATGTTTACTGGTTTGCTTCAGAAACAAGTCCACAGAAAGGAACACCAGTGAAAACATTAACAAAACTTGGGATGGATCATGCATGGAAAAGAACCAGAGAGCAGATGAGGGGGCGTGGGGGGGAATGACCAAAAGAGATTCAGACTCTATGTCAATATTAATTAAATTCTAATCCTATTTGAGGGGGTAAATAAGAGTAACTAACATAACCAGGCTGAGCTCTGTTTATACTAGTAACAGTATCTGTAACCTGAGGCACATCACTTAAATATGGGAACCTGTCTCTTTCATCCATACGCACCACACCATGTCCGTTATTATTTACAGTCCCTGACCTGTGACCTCTTCTGTCAAGGTACAACCCACTCTCCTATCATCGCCTGGCCTGGGAGAAAGTCAAAAGAATCAGTTGCCACAGTTTGATTACAAAGAGTTTGGCAATGGCAGCAGAATCAGAGGTCAACACAAAAAATCTATACTCTTAATTAGTCCGAACATGTATGAATATGAGTATGGTGGCTCAGTCGGCAGAGCCGTCGCTTCTCTGCAAGATGGTTGCCGAATCCAATCCCTTTGTGCATGCGTGGGATTTCTCTAGGTACTACGATTTCCTCCAAAAAACATACATGTTTGGCTAACTGGTAACTAAACTGTCAATAGGTGTTAGTGAGAGTGTGAATGGTCCTATGTCTCTATGTGGCCCTGTAATGGACTTATGACCTGTCCAGGGTCTACCTGGCCCCTCACACAGTGACTGCTGGACAAGGGTATGGGTGACGCCCAAACCCAGAAAGAAAGAAAGAAGCAGTAAATATATGTAATGGATAATGTTAATATAGGCTTTGAAGCATGTTTAGGGAAAAGCGTTCCTATTATTTTGCTCTGTAACAATACCACTTACAATAATAGTGCTCTTATGTGGCATTTTGAGTGTACAAACAGTGTTAAAACAAATATTTTAATAATCACTATAACACACTTGTACATCTGACTTAATTTAAAATAAACAACACAGAACTGTTAAAAAATGTAAAAGTACAGAGTGTCATGTGTGCGGCAGCCATGTTGAAATAATGGCATTATGTATGCTCAGGTATGGTCTGGTAGTGCCAACCTCTCGACTCAAAACTACGACTACAGTTGAAAAATAGAACTCAGAAGTTTGAAACTACGACCTCCGAGGACAACTGGAATGCAGTATATTATAAGATAGACTTTTGTTGTAAAGTGCAATCTAGGAGGGTAAATGGTCAATGTTTGGCTGGCTGCCAAGGTAAAAATAAAGTGAGCCAAGAAGGGAATTGTGGCAGGCAGCTTCTTTTTGTATCACTAAAGTATGTGAGCAAAGTGACCAAACTACAAAAAGAACAAAGTGGCTAAAATAAGATTTAACCTAAAGCCAAAAAAGTCACAGGAGTCAGATACTGCAGTTTAATTATCCAGTGTTGAACGGGAGAGACATTAGGTGTCCAAACATCTAGAGGAAAGTGTTTGTGGGAACTGAACAGACATAAATTGCACACAACAGGAAATAATGAACATCCCTTTACTTCCTGTGTGGATTTGACAAGAACCGTTACACACTGTTCACAGATTTTATCCTCAGGCAATCTACCATGGTGGGCCATTTACAGCGTCCAAATTACATTGTATTAGTCAGGCTGAAGAGCATGACAGACATATTTAAACTTATTGTACGAGATTAACATCAGAGTTGGGCAAAGCTTGTAAGCTTAAGTATTTATGGATGAGACGTATTTTCATTCATTGTCTCTGCAGCCACATCTGCCTCACATCTGTCTTGGTTCACAAGCCCAGTATGATGTTCTGACTAGAGATAGACATGTTTTTGTGAAGGCTCAGTTATTTTATTGACAGGGTTGGTACTCGGTTCACAGCAGACTGTCCTGACAAGAAGAATCTTTCTGTCCAACCCTGATCTGACCTCACCGGGTTTGTAGCCACACTCCCCCACCTCTGAGGCTTGAGCGAGGACAATGTGTTGATGGAAGAAGAGATAACTAAAACTAATTTCATGCCTGGTATGTTTTGATGTATAAAGCTAAAACAATACTGTAGATGAAAAGTGTCAAGTCGGTGTGGTTTGCAGATAAAGGGGTGAGTCAGAGTCTTAAATCTGCCCACTCAGACTTCTTTTGGTTGTTAGATGTTTGACATCTGAACGCATTTCATCGGCAGACAATTACAGAGCAGTGAGTTGTCGAAAGATTCCAAACTCCCCTCCTGTACTCATGCAAACCATTGTCTCTGCTTTTCTACAAGCAAGGTGTCTAGCCTGTAGGAGGCTCAGATTAAGTCATCTGTAACATGACGTCTACTGTGTCTGGTATTTAAACAGATGAGGGGAGATGATGGGGAGTGAGGCTAGACGATGGGGGAAGGTCTGTGCTATGGATGAATTAAAAATCCCCTGTAGAATGACATCAGCAAAAGATGGAGTAGGGAARGGGGGAGGTAGGATGAAGAGAAGGCATCACATCCTTAATCATACCATTCTCCTGAATTCCAAGTTTCCCAGAGAGGAATATTAAGGCCAATAGCAGCTGGCTTTTAAGCAGACAGTGAAAGCCAGAGATAAAGAAATGGATGAGATTGAGTCTCCGCTGAATCCGAGCTTCTGCTGTCCAGGGAAACTAAAGCTGCTGCTGGCGGTCCTCTCAACACAAAGCTCTTTCTCAAAGCTTGGGTTGGACAGTGGTCTGCTGATGCCTAGACAGGAAGTCTGAAAACCGTCTGAGTGAAACTTTTGTTAACTGAAACAACATGCAAGGCGAACCAAAGTAGCACTGACAGCAACCGAATTTACCAATTTCTCCTCCACAAATCCCCCCATTTATATTCTCCACAGAGAACTCTGGTATTAGACAGGACCACAGGCATGTATGCAAGAGTTTAAATTCCAAAAGGGACTGATGCCCCCAAACCCTCTGAGGAGGAATGTAGAGACGGTCCCTAGTGCATGCTGAGTGTCACAGGGGTCACATCTCCACTGAGCTAAGAAGCATCGCAGATAGGATAGTTTAAGGTTAAAGTGACCAGGCTTAGTCTTGCTGAGATCAGATTAAGGATCAAACAAAAGTGTTCTTCATGTGGGTTGATTAGATTTTCTGAGGGATTTCTAAATGTTTAGTTTTACTTTGGATGAAACAGCCACCCTGTTATTCCAGCACCGGGTTCATTCAAAACGCAGACACGTTCAATTACAGTTAGTGGCGTTCAGGCTGAACGCGTGTGCGGTGTGCGTAAAACGTGTCCGGAGCGCATAAATCTCCCATTTAACATTAGAGCCAAACAACATATCGATAAAGAAACAAGCCTGAAACATTATAAAAATCTTGTTAACTCAACTTTAACAAAGATATGTAGATGTTCTTGGATGTTCTGCTGTTTGGACACACTTCAGCAGTCCAGTGGAAAGTTTACACGTTTTGCGCAACAACTGAGAGTAGCTGGAATAAATCATTGTTGAAGATTTTAGAACTGCTGTGTCTGTTTTTTTTTTTTTTTTTTTTTTTTTTTGTAAATGTGAGAAACTCACCTGGCAGAATCAGACAAATAAAAGTCAACGGCATATCCGAAGTAGCTCCCCTCGGGTCCGCTATAAACAGCGGGGCTCTCCACGTCCAGGTTGAACGCGTCGCAGGCGGGATGGGAGAAGGTGACCAAGAGGCCGAGGAGACAGAGGGACGAGCGGGCGAAAAGGGCTGCCGTCCCCGGGGTCTTTGTGCGTAATCGTCCTGAAGCCATTATTTTATTTTATTTTATTTTATTTTATTTTCAATGAGCAATAATCCACTGAAGTTTACTTTGTGACACCAACAAGTCCGAGTTCTTTCAGTCCGCAGATCAATCCGAAACAAGCAGAGGAGAACTAACTAAAACCGCATCTCTGTAATCATGAACACTCCGACAGGCTCTCCGCTGCGTCCTCTCTCTGCCGCTCTCCACGCCTCCTCTGGCCACCAGAACGCAAGGAGTTCCCACAGCTGCAGCAAAGTTTGGAGGAGGAGGAGTCTGTGATTCCCTAGAAAGAAAAATAAAATAGGAGGTACCTTCTCATGCACTAATCCACCTACTTTGGAAAAGAAGAAAAAAAAAACACTTTTTGGCATTAACAGAGAGGTCTGCAACCTTAACAACTGGAAGAATCATTTGCACTATTTTTGTCTGCTAACTAAAGACTATGAAGAAAGTAAATTTACTTGACCAATAAAGTTAGAATAAACAATTTGGACAATATAGTTGCATTGGGGATTGTAGATTTTCTTTTTTAAAGTGTTTGTGGGAAATTAGTTCTGTACAAGAAGATAAATAGTTTCATGTTTCATTATTTCCATACATACAGAGCTACTCTTCAACTTATTTGTGAAAGATGAATAAAATATGTAGCATGCTGGTGCAGACTCAAGCATCCAGGAGATGGCAAATCTCACAAGTTTATGAAAACAAACAAAAAACGGCTCCTGTCAAGCCTCAGGAGGGAAGGGAGTGAAAATAATCAATGTAAATTTAGCTGCACTGAGCTTCTCGTGCAGTTTAAAGCTTGGAACTTCACACTTTTCAGTTTTTGAACTGAAAACATGTCCCAGATGGGCACCAGAGCATCTTCAGCAATAGAAGTCCAGTTTCTTGATTTTTAAACTTTTAGGATTTAGAACAGGGGTGTCAAACTAATTATAACTGAGGGGCACATGCACGATACTTTAAAACTTTTACTCAAGTAATATTCATAAAGGAGACTTTAACTTTTACCAAAGTATTGTTTTTTGTAAGATACTTGTACTTTTACTCAGATATCTCTTCGTGGTATTTTATATAACACTGTTGTTGCTTTTAAACACGTTCCAGTGAAAACACAAGTCCTAACGATCTAGTTCTGCTACTGAAATGATGGGAGCATCTTTTTATTCATTGATATGTGCACTAATTTCTGATTTTAAAAGAAATTCACTTCAAGCCTTAGTCATTCTGCTGCAGAAACTCCACACAAACAGCAAAAACCTGGATGGAAAAAATGCCAGTTCTCCTTAAATCGACCATCACCATTTAAACATAACACCAGCTGATTCGATTTTTCATCAAAGTTACAAAGAGCCATTTTAGAGGATCTGAAGATCAAGTCACAGCCCCCCCCCCCAATACACCTACTCCCACCCCGACAGATTCAACAATGGTTCCACAATCTTTTTTTTCTTTTTTATCTTAAACCTACTCTGACCTTTTGAGATCAAAGGTGCTTCCAGAGAAGGCAGCCTGATAGTTTGGTGGAAAGGTCAGTAAAACTGCACATCACACTCCACATTACAGCTTATTTTAACCAAAACCAAAAGCTGCTGCTTCACGTTGCAAATTAAAATCTAAACTTCGCTCCATAAACTGTGTACTAATTAGACTCTTATCAGCCACTTTGTGTGTAAGCCATGTGTATTTCTGTCTAATTACAGTGCTGATGGGGTGTATATGATGAACATGATTTAGCATAGGAGGGTGTGGGAACATCCCTTACTTCTGCTTCTGAGTCACACGAGACAGAGAGAAAGCGGTTGGGCAACAAAAAGGCAAGAGCTTGCTCCGATGAGACCTTTAATAACCAATCCAGGCCTGCTGGAATTACTGACTGTTGGTTTAACTTCAAGCTTGAAAAGTTTGAACACCAGGGGCCAAATTTGGCTTGTGGCAGTAGCAACATGAACTCTTCCGACAAGGGCCTGCTTGTATTTATAACTCGACCGTAAGCCCGAAGAGTAAAAGTGTGACTGTAGGGCTGATGGGAGAATCCAGAGTGTCTGGAGGGGCTGGTCCACAGCTGTCAGGGGGCACTCTTTGGTTCAAAGACCTAATCTGAGAAGGGTTCTCATTTAATCATTCTGTTTTTAGAGACAAGATGTGAGTTCAAGTTGTGGTTTATAAAAGGGCTAATCATAAATAGCCATCAAAATGATTTGTAGAAACTTTCCAGTTAATGTCACAACTTGTTTTCTTTAATTAAAGCGCACCATGGCAACCAAAGCCTGAAACAAAAACGTGATTGTTACACACTTAATAAACCAGWGTCATCCACATTGTCCGTATGTTTTAGGACATTTTGAAAGTTGTTTTCATTTAAACAGCTTTGAGACCTTTAGTATGAGAGGTCATCTGAATATTTTGAAAACAGCCTGAGTGGTATCAGCTTTCAGTCATTCTCTTCTTTACTGTTTGCCAGATTAAACAGCTCTAATCTTATCTGTCAGCCCACAAGAAGCTGTTTGAACTGCAACAGGATCAGAGTTTAAGACAAAGGAAGCACAAGCTGAGCATTTCTTGAAAGGAATGCAGATTGCCCGCCACATTTCATGCCAGAGTTTAAAATTAATACCATCTTGTGTAGAGTAGTAGGAGTTAGTCCGATCTTAAACCAGGGCTATTCAACTGGCAGCCCGCGGGCCACATCCGGCCAGCGAGTGACCAAAGTTCGGCCCGCCAATTGGCTCATTCATCTCTTCAGCCCAACCCCCCGGTTTTCTACTATAAGGTCTTTTAATTAAACATAGACATGTTTGTATCTACAGAAACGTCAGAATCTTGGCTAGAAGCTGGTAAAAACAATTTCTATGAACACTCAAGACAGTTAAAATTACAAGTAGTTGAATATRAAATTATGAAAGTAAAAATAAAATTGGTTTAAAAATTTGGCAAGTCAGAGATGTCAAAATAATATTTGTGTCAAACAGGAGGCATAATGTGTTAATTTTGATACTGTTTGATTATCACTACTTTTATAGGGTTCTGTATGTTGTATTCATGATTAAATACAGCAAAACAAACTATTTCAAAGGTAACAGATCTTTGTAATACTTGGTTTATTTACATAATGACTTTAATTGCTGGATGTTCAGCCACTCAGCTGTTGGCCTACAGTAACTGTGGCCGTCGGAGCAGTTTAGTTGAATAGCCCCGTCTCAATGTGATGGCGATGATGACGATCAACTACCACACCACCGTTTATTTCAGTTTCTGTAAAACTGACTGAGTTACATTCATTTTTGTGTTTTCTAAGGTTGGTCATCTTGAACTGGGCTTCCTCTTAAAGGTATTCAGTAATGGTTAGATGTTATCAGTGCATAAAGTGAATATTGGTACTTAAAGAGTTTCATTCAAATCCATTCAGTGGTTTGAGATATTTTGTTAACAGATGGTCAACTAAACATACACTCACAGAGGCAAAAACAATTGCCCACCTTTCAGTGTTTTTTTTTTTTTTTTGGCAGGCAAGTATTTTTGTTCTCCCTGCTTTAGTCTTTTGTGTTTGTGTGTGTGTGTGTGTGTGTGTGTGTGTGTGTGTGTGTGTGTGTGTGTGTGTGTGTGTGTGTGTTATCCAATAGCAACCTCCCCACAAGGCCAGAGAACACCAGGGAGATCATTTATTAGACATATTTTCTACCCGAGGCCAGAGCCTGTTCTGCTTTTGGTGAACTGCTCTGGCCAACTGAACAGTGTTTTCCATCCTGACTTTTCCGTTGAAAAAAAAAAAGAGGGGTGTGTGAGATTTTATTTCAGTGCCTTAGCTTTACCCAGACACTATGGCAACAGATCTGAAGTGCAACAAAACACCAAGAGAACATTTAGCAGGGCCCTGCACAGCTGGTTATTTCAGATAGAAACCTGACACTTCTGCATGTAAATAAAACACACACACACACACACACACACACACACACACACACACACACACACACACACACACACACACACACACACACACACATATACCTGTATATGTGTTAAAGTAGAGTATAAAAAGTGCTGTCATCTTTACACATTAAAAGGTGTGACCTTACTAAAATACAATAACTAACTCAATTTTGTTTATATACTCATTTACAAATTATGTACTTAGCATTCCTTGAAGGAATGCATATTGCCCATAATCTTTCATGTCAGAGTTTAAGATCAGCTTAAACTGACGGAGCTGTGAATATTTTTGATCAAATTTAGACAGTAACATAATGCACAGTTCTGTGCAATAGTGATATTGTGGATGATCTATGTGGCCCTGTGATGGACTTGTGACCTGTCCAGGGTGTACCACACCCCTCACACTGTGACTGCTAGATATGGGCACCATTGACTCCCAAAACCCTGAAAAGATGAAGTCCATACATGTCAACTCCTTTGGACATTTACCTGAGTCTCAAAAATAATAATTTTTACAAAAAAAATCCATGTGCGTGGTGGTGGTGGGGTGGGGGGTGCACAGGTGGACTGTCGGCCTCGGAGACATGGTAAATAATTTTGAAACTGAGTTTTTGAAAATATCTGTAATACTTGGAAAAAAACCTGTCAGATTTGTGTAAATTACGGACAATCCATACAACTTGACATGTCTGAGAAGTGGGTAAAAGATAATGGATGGATGGATTGATCACTGTGGTAACTGAGTGGTCAGTACTGAATCCTGAGGCTAYTGAACCTTCAAGCTGAGAAGGCTTTAGGAAGGGCATCCAGTACAAAACAATTGCCCCATCTCTTGTGGGAGCTTGCCCATAGCAAAAATTGTCTTTCTCATCTGTGGTTCAATCTAATCTTACAAGATTAGTTTGAGCTTTCTCATATTTGTAATGTGTGATCATTTGTTTCTGAGTTATTGTTCCTTAGGAGCAAAAGTTAAGCTGAGATGAGACAAGACATCACTGAGGTTGAGTTGAGATAACTATGTTGAGATATGGGATAAACAGAAGAGATCTCATAATTGTATCCCACAGATCTCAATTATGTCTTGGTCATTTTGAAGAACTAAAGAGAATAACATGAGATGAATTTGAGACTTTATTGAGACAAATCTGAGAAACATGAGCCCTAAAACAGATCTTGCCATTGTGTGTCTGATGTCTCTTCCATGTCTTAATTATTTCTCTTTTACGTCATACTGATATGAGAACGATATCTGAGCCATATTTGAGAAATATGAGAATAAATTGAGAATGTAATTTA